ACGGGGGCAGCGGGGCGGGGGGCAGGGGGGCGGCCGCCACCTCGGTGGGGTCGGAGGCGGACACTCCCTTCACGAGCTGCTGTATGTTGTGCAGCACGTTCTGTATCGCCTTGCGCCCCTGGGCGTTCGGTGTGTTGATCGCTATCAACTCGGGAGGTAGCGGCTTCGACTTAGACTTGTCACTCTTCGATTTTTGCTTGGGCAATACTCCAGGAGGCGGCATAAACTTTTTATGGCTTTCTTTTTCCCCTTCACTGTGGCTAGTTTTCAACAAACTCTTGCCATTGAGTGAAGGTTTCTTCCTAAACTCAATGAGGCTTATTGCGGGCTCGCTACGTCTGGGAGCGTCTGTGACCACGTTGTCGTACGCGCGCAATCTGCTCTGCACGGAGTCACTGTACGTGGCCGCGTGAGGGGATGCGTTATGCGATAGGATCAGGTCACCACTTCTAAAATATTTCTCTAACAGAATAAGGTGACGTAGGAACGACGACTGGTTACCGTACGGCCGCTGGAGCTCATTCCAAAGCTTCTTGGTCTCTACATCATACTGAATCATAGTGTTGCACTTCTCCCATCCTTCAGGGGTGACTCCCTTCACATTGTTGAACTCTATGTTACACTGTAAGTTCATCTCCTCCTCACCTGGGAACAGTTCACGGACTGATATCGACGGATTAGTCTCCAGCCTCTTCACAGGATTGGAGTACCTGGCCTCAGATCCCTTTTTATGATCTTTGTTTTTGGACAACTCACTCAGGTTCTTCTTGACCTGTGTGAAGCTTTCAGACATCTGCCACTTGTTCTTTAGGGTGTTTATATCAGCAGGTCTCTTGTTAGGGATAGTCTCTATGGTGCACTCTTCATTCAATGAGATGTTCTTGAGTATGGGAATGCCATCCCTAACTCTCTCCTCCTCATTGTCACTCTTCGACTTGTCCTTTTGTGTGAGAACTTGTCCCAACTTATGTATTCTCTTGGCATTCTTCTCTAGTATTCTCTGTTGGCTGCCTGGTTTCTGAATGCCGGACAGGTTGTGTACTTTCAGAATGTTCCTTTGTTTCCCTGTGAGGTTTGGTTTGGGGAGGAACTGTGCGGGGTTGTTCTGTTTCTGTAATAAGTATTGTAGTTCTGTCTGTTTGTCTATGGGTAGGACGGGAGCCTCCATGTCTTGCATGTCTGCCTCGGAGCCATCACTTTGGTGGTTGGGGTCATTGGGCTTGGCGTTGGGTACGAGGATCTTGTTCGAGGAGATCAGGCTCTCTATGTCCTCTTCAATAGGTTGTTCCTTGCCATCACTGTCCTCCTTCACCTTGTCCTTCTCGGGAGTGCTCTCATTAGTCCTCTCTGAGGACTCACTGTCGACTTTGTCTGGTTCTGTGGACTTCCTCTGTTTGGACTTTGGTCTGGGTTTCTTCTTGAGTTTGCTCTCATCTTGTGTTTCTTCTGTGTCATTTTCTGACGTCGGTGGTACTTCTATGTTGTAGATCTGTAGTAATCTGAGAAAGAAGATAAGATTATTTTTAGTAATATGGTTTAAACGCCCTTCAAAACAAAATGTATCACTAAATATGCCATTAAACCTATCCATAGGTAGTCCATCTAAGGCCTTAAATAGGGATAAAGGCTAATTTATGTGACCTGTAATACATAAATAGTCAGAATACTCACTTGCGTCGGTATGCAGTAGCATACGCGTCGTTATGTCCGGGGCGCTGCAGCAGAGTGCAGTAGTAGCGACACGTCTTGCACAGCACGGGACGCTCATTGAACTCCACCGGCACGTTGGCAGCCTTCAGGAACGGATTCAACTCTGTGTAGCCCTGTAAAACAATCATACATTACAATATAGATATTTGTAAAATTGTATCTGTGAACGTAGTGTCATGGACATAAACTGATAAATCAATGTACCTACTACCTTAACCCATAAATCACCAAGCGGTCACCGGTGACCGCTTTCCACTAATATTACATTACATTATAGACCTTATTTGTAATGTTTAGAGACTACTTTTGTATGACCAAATTTAGGGGGTGGATTTCAACGGGTTAAGTTAATGTTATACTTATTTGTATCCTAATATTAAGTACATAGTTCATGATTAAGGACTCCGGTCCAGCTCGAAACTAGGCCGCATACCACGAAAAATTTGGGAAAATGATAAGATTTTTATCTAATCATTTAGTAATGGTTCTAATGTTAATTAAATTATAAAAAATACATAGTACTATGTGAGTGTAAAACTCATTTGGTTGATCCTGAATAAACATATATAAAACGTTTTAATTTCAAAGTAAATTCTGATGTTAGGTACAATGTCTGATGTCGGTTAACCAGTTTGTTGCTGTTTGTGTCAAGTATGTACGTACGTGGTGTATGAAGTGCACGTTGTGGTGCTTGGTGATCCTGCGGCGACACAGTCTGCAGGCCAGCAGCGGGGCCAGCGCGCGGTAGTGGAGTGTCAAGTATGTACGTACGTGGTGTATGAAGTGCACGTTGTGGTGCTTGGTGATCCTGCGGCGACACAGTCTGCAGGCCAGCAGCGGGGCCAGCGCGCGGTAGTGGAGTGTCAAGTATGTACGTACGTGGTGTATGAAGTGCACGTTGTGGTGCTTGGTGATCCTGCGGCGACACAGTCTGCAGGCCAGCAGCGGGGCCAGCGCGCGGTAGTGGACGCTGCACAGGGGCAGCGTGTGCAGGCCCGGGTAGTCGCACTTCAGGGTCAACTGGGGGGAAGGCTTGGGTCATCATTCTAATTTTAGGTTAGCTTAATAAACGGAAAATAAAACCTTGACAGTGTCTGTTTCTCTCAAGTTTTCTTTATATATTAATTTTAATTTCATACAATACACTATACGGCTTTTCAAAATGTTCCTTTAGTTCTGTAATATTAGAATGACTACTGACCAGTTTGTTGACACTGCTCCTCATCTTGATGAGCCACTTGCGTCGGATGGAGTGGTCCGCGACGGCGGTGCAGCCCTCCGTGTGACAGACGGACACTCTGCCCGAGCTCACCGCGGGGGCCGCGCCCTCCTCCTCGCTGTCCTCCTCCACCGGGGGACTCGGGGGCTTCTCTGTTTGGGTGCTGGAGAAAATAGAAGAAATTAGTAAAGTGATAAAGAAAATGAATCACACTTTTTTGCCCAATTATTTTGTTGTAATAATGAAGTTATTCATGTATTGACAAAAGTTAAGAGATGGAGTACAAAGTCAGTGGCGTGCACAGGTTTTCCAGACAGGGTAGGCAACTAAATATCGTATGATTAAACCCCTCCCCCCCGCCGGTCATACAATCATGCTCACACAAGATAGGTACATGTACATAATATATTTTGAAAAGTGCGTTCAAGAATATTGTGGTGTATTGTTTCGCCAAATTACATACACTGACATCTCGCGTATTTTTTGTGAAGTACTTCATCAGCTATTGAATAAGCCAACAAAACTTACAAATAATGAAAGATCTATTATTTATTTTAATAATGAAGCATAAATTTGATGAACCAAATTTCATTATGGAATTGTTAAGGTTAATCAATCTGGTCAAAATCATAATATATTACGAATTTAAGAGCGTAGGTACCTACATTATGTCAACAAACAAAACAATAACAAGCGCGGCCGGCTGTGGCCGAGCCGGCCGAGTCTATGCGGTACATTTGTTATTACTACATTACATAAATATTAATAATAAATTAATATGTGAATCAGTACAACCCGAAGTCTAAGTTGATATTTTTAAGAATTATCAAACAATAAACAAGAAAATCAAATAAAAGATCCATTATAGTACATATTTACATTACCTACCTTTTACTTGGGTCAATTCTCGTAACTCGAGTACACCTCTGCCTATGGTCATTACCTGAATCTAGTCCGATAAAGGACATTGCGAAATCTTACTGTTTTTACTTTCAACAAACACATAAAATTACCTATTATTCACACACACTTCACAATCGAATAATATAGGTACTTGTACTAGAAACTGAGAAACAAATACACTATTTGAAAAACCTACACATATATTTAACTACTACTACACATTTATGCAACTTTATGTTTAAAACTAATTCCTAATAATTTAAACGAAAACATAAACAAAGCGATCGCACATCACATGAAAACAATATGGCCGAAAACATTGGAAATGAATTGAAGTCATTACCAATAGTCAATTGAGTGTTTATTATAAAAAAAATGTAGCTTAAAAATTAAGGTAACGCAGCGTTTAATTTCAAAAAAACAAACGTTAATTTAGTAAGTCAAATGAAATTGCATCATCGTCTTAAACCAATATTTCATACTAAAAAACATTCATTCATATAATTTGAAACGTTGTAAATGGCGCCATCTTGACGTATCAATAACTTCCTTTTAACTTTTATAATAATAAAGTCAACTCCTCGTTTAAAATTTCTATAAACCGACAACGCGTAAAAATGTTAAACTTTAATTAAAACACTTGAAAAATATTTGTTAAATACGCATTTATAAAAATACATTCGCATTATATCGAACGAGTTCAGAAGTTTCAACAAAAAATTCAATAGATGGCGCTGGTGTACTCCATTCATCAGTACTTTACGATATACATACAAATTTTATCAATTTAAATCCTTTTATGATTTAATTGTTTTTAAAAATACAATAACTTGTTGTTGTTTTATTGTATTTAGAATTCTTAATAAAATACGATCGTTTTCCAAGTGATGAACGAACGGTCCTCTAATTTTTTAGTTGCAAACATTTTGTCAATCAACAGGAATCGCGTAATATAATTATGAATGGTTATTCTGTACCGTGACTATGGTCGTGAACTTCACGCATGCGCGGTGCATACTTTTGGTACATTTCTTTTGTGACGTCACTACGGCCAACCAAGATTTAAGGAATAGTGGCGCATGCGTGGTGCGTGCGGGGCGCATTCATTACTTTACAAAGGCGCGTATTTATGTTAGCCGTTTTTTTACAAACTTTTATTATATTATTGAATTTTAATAAACGCGTTTGTACATTATATGTATGTTATATATTCACGATATTTATAGGTAGGCAATGCCTTTTCGCCTATATGGACTGCACGCCACTGTACAAAGTACTATGACTTAATCACCAAGCCAGATAGTATTTGCGCGTAAGATGGTGCTGAAGGGTTAAGTGTTACAACAGGCAATTGTAGGAGAGTGATTTCAAAATTCTACTCTGAATATAAAGTCCTAAATAAAAACCAACAGTATTAAACTAGACCTAAACTAAAGTAATGTTGTGAGTATTGAACAGTTCTATAAGTAATATAAACGTATAGGTACTTGTGCAGCGATGTGATGGGTGGATCGATGGTCTGTTTCCCCAGCGGTCGCTTGCGGTACGAGGGACAGTTGGCGCGCCGGTCCACGTGGCGGTAGCACGCGTCGCACAGACAACTGTCTATCGTCAGCTTCTCTTCGTCTGGAAGGGGCGGAGACGTTATAGAACCACTTCTCATATTTATTACCTAGTCTACAATTTGTCAGCATTTAATGAATGCTGAAAAGTTTATACTAAACTGTAATTCTGCAAAACATTGGGTCTAGTTGTTGGTTAAATGCTAAAAGCATATGAGCTTATATTACTCATTAATTTAGTGGACAAAAATATTAATTACTGTGCATTCAGTCTTGAAAAGAAAATTAAAAATGTAAAACTTACTGTCCAAAATTTTCTTCTGTCTCTCAGAGCTTTTGATCTGAGCGATGTGACAGGGTGTGTCGAAGAGACCGAACTTGCCGCCGCAGTAGAAGCACTGGTCCATGCACAGCCGTCCAGGGTGGATGCTGAACGAGGACGCCTTCTCCGGGATCACCAGGTTCAAGGTCTCCTTCGGCTCCACAGGCTCCGGAGCAGCCTCTGTGTCTGAAGGAAACAACTTGCTGATGAAGGAAGCAACCAGCGAAGTGGTGATGAGGGTTTTAAATTATAAATATAGCTATGCCCTTTAATATAGTGTATAGTAATTTCGACTAAAAGTTGTGAAAATAAAGAACCTTCTTTAGAAACATTTATAACAGTAATAAGTTTTGTATTCCCAAACGAGTAGGCAGAGCAAGAGGTGTTAACTGTAACATCTAAATCTTGTCAGTTAGGTACACCGAAAATCTCAATAAATTACCAGAACATAAATTTGAAAAAGATACTGGACAAACAACAGCTACCCCGTTATTTCCTGGACATATACAAACATATAGACACATACAAACTGTACATTAACTACACAGAGAGACGGACAAACAAATTTTTGTGTTTATGTATGCCTGGTGTATAGTGTATCATGTATTTCTTGACGAAGTATTGCTTTTGGTATTTCAAAATAATAGTTTTAAAGTATATGGACTGTTTACAAAGTAAGTTTAATTTTAACACCGATACCCAGCGTTTCCAAAAAGTTTCAGAACATTTTTTATTTTATCGCGAAATAATTGTATTTACTTATTCATAGATAAGTATTATTTATTGCAATTAAATATCGAATTAATTAAAAAGAAAGTATACGGGATGTTACTTAGTGATCTATATATATTATGTTGCTAATTAAAGTTGAAAGAAATATTTTTTTAATTGAGTAATATACTTCAAATCTTTCCTTGACACTACATTGTGTTTAAAGCATTAAAAATATGCATAGCGTTAATTCTTCATCGCCATATCAGCTACAAGACATCCGTTAATGAACATAGGGCTCCCCTAAAGACTTTCCTTATGTCATGCGATTAAGTTTGCCAACCAACATTTAGTACATTCATAATAAGCAAGGTTAGATTGGTACGAAGGCCTATCTTATACTATTATATAAAGCGGAAGAATTTGTTTGTTTGTTTGTTTGAACGCGCTAATCTCCGTAACTACAAGTCTGATTTGAATAATTCTTTTTGTGTTGAATAGCGCATTTACCGAGGATGGCTATAGGTTATAACGTCACGCTACGACCAATAGGAGCTGAGCAGAGCGTGTGAAACCGCGCGGAAGTAGCTAGTGTTAGCAATAAATATCCAAATAAATTAAGAAATATTTTGTTGTTTGAAAAATCACAACAAAACCATAATTGGTTTCTCCAAAACCAAAAAAATTTTAGTATTCAAAGTTTTGTACGCGTAAATCTTGGATAATTTATTCAAAATACTAAGTAAATGCTTGCTAGATTAAAATTTGATAAGTTGTATAGTGAAAAAGGTTGTTATTATTACTCAATTAATTAATTAATTTCGATTTAGACTGTTATTAGATCATGTATACTAATATTATGGAAAGAAGAAGATTAGATTACTCGTTTGTTTACACTAAATAAGCTCAGAAATAATAGACTGATTTAAAAATATTTCATAATTGAAAAGTTTTATTTTAAGAGGTTACTCGTCACTCTAGTATTTCTACCGGATGGGGCCTCCTTAAAAGAAATCTAACCTAGTAATGAATTAAATATAAAGAAATACCCGACGCTTAGCAGTTGACCTACCTGACAACAGCGTGACTTTATGACTATAACCTTCCTCAAGAAAATAATTATAAAACAGAAAAACAAGTTTTCAAACCAAATTACAATTTGAATTAAATAATAAAAATGTATAACTTTTGCTTGAAATTAATAATTAATAGAATATTTAATAAGATACATAATAATTATTATAAAGAGTGTTTGGTGCATCGTTGTCGACTGAAGGGTTCATCTGCTAGCCCTTCAGACTAAAACCCCTAAACTGTCATGAGCCGTGAATTTTTTAATCGACTTTATATTATTACTCAACCAATTTTTATGAATTTTTCCCTTCCATAGTTATAGAGAATACGGAGAAAGACAAAGGTCAATTCACGTGGGCAATAATTCGAAGGCATAACCTAGTTATCTGCCTATAGATGACATAGCCACAGACTTCATATTGATACTGCTACAGTACTGTAGTATCACCTATCACCTAGTTTTCTAGTACCCACACCTAATAATGCGACCCCAGTGGCAGGATGTGCATCGCGTTGTAATTGAGTTCTCGACTCGGAAATTCGCGAGGACATTACAAGGAAAATTGTACTGTGTACGAATTTTCAAACCGGTGTCATCAATCCCGTAATACATAGGTACCTATATACTACATATGTATAATAAAATCGTAGGAAAGGGAAAACTGTACATTAAATATTTAAAAAAATGCTTCAGGCGGGATCTACAAACGATACCCAAACGAAATTCCCAACGATCCTCAAACTCCTAATCCCCAAAAGGCCGGTAACGCACTTGTAACGCTTCTGGTGTTCCAGGTGTCCATGGGCGACGCCGATTGCTTACCATCAGGTGATCCGTCTGCTCGTTTACCTTATGCCATAAAAAAAATACCGACTCTAAAAATATGGTTTTTAGATTTTTTGTCTGTTTGTCTGTATGTGTGTCTGGTCTTAAGTTTTTTTGTGGAATAGGAGGCAAACGAGGAGACGGATCACCTGATGGTAAGCGATCAGCGCCGCCCATGGACACCCACAACACCAGAGGAGTCATAGGTGCGTTGCCGGCCTTTTAAAAAAGTATACGCTCTTTTCTTGAAGGTCGTATCGATTCGGAAATACCGCCGACGACAGATCATTCCACAGTATTGCTGTGCGATGTTTAAAAAATACTGCATGGATTTACTTCAAATTTTGAATGAATATTACTAACAGGTCGGGTCAACAGGCTACATATTATCACGCTATCACCTAAGGAGGAGGAGCTGTGAATTACTGTTCTACGCGGACAAGGTCGCGGGCACAGCTAGTAATAATATAATAAAACCGAACGTAAGTTTGTGTGTTACTACTTTACGCTACCAAAGTAATCTTTTTTACTAAACAATTTTTATAGTTGGGAGTACGGGTGAGTACATAGGCCAAGAAATATCACATACATAAACTTACAAGACAAAGGCTTAGCTCAGTTGAAATTCAGATTTCTTGAAATTGTCATCGAAGCGAGATGATGTAATCGAAATAGGCCTTAAGTAAACTTCCTTAGTTAACTTTTATTAGATCAAGCTAATTCTGATAAATCTATTTTACTTTACTTTATGTTATATTTCAGTTAAAAAACGCTCACTATTGCTTTCTTTGATTACTGATGTCTTCACAACAACAACACCATAATTTACCTAAAACAAGCATGCGCATGCGCAACTTAGAACCGTTTTATGAAATTTGTTATAGAATATTTCGAAATTATTACTAAATTTCCTAAGTGTTTAAAAAATAATTTATAAATTTTAGTAAATCAGTGTAAGTAGTATTAGAGTCATGCAAGAAGTGTTTGTAATGATCTTAGTTTGATTATAGTTTCATTAAATCTTGTGTCAGTTACCAAAATTCATTGCTAGTTGTATATGTTTTGGGAATTTTGGTTAGGATAAAGTCGTTAGTGCACATATTATACTTTCACTCATTTTATATTAAACATTTTGTGGAATTACTGAGAATATCAGTTAAATTGTCACATTTTTCAATACAATGTAGACAAAAGATGTAGCTTATGAGAAAAACCAGCTAAAAATGGTTGAATTATTTCAGGAAAAGCTATTCAAACAAATATAATATTAAGAATTTTCGGCTCAAGTTCAAGATAATAATTATTTGCCAAAAAAGTATATATTTAGTATGATATGTGCACATAACGGTAGTGTGTAGTGGGGTGAATGTATCCACACACCATGGTTGTTAAGACGATTACTGTAATGAGACTTTCTGTGCCCACCGTCAGAGGTCGCGCCCGGAGCACCCTGTGAACAAAACAATAGATATTATAAATGTATTCTAATATATACCTAAATACACTAATATTTTAAAAGACCTCCATTTCATTAGAGATCTAATTATACCACATAGTAGTACATATTTACTAGTCAATACATAGTATAAAACAAAGTCGCTCGAAGTTATCTTAAAATTAAAATCTGTGAACTAACCAAGCATGTGCTACTCCGAGTGAGTTATGCAGTTAAGCGGTGCCCTCCGGCACATAAAATTACTGATATTCAACCAAATCGGAGAAATAAATAAATATATAGAACTTTTAATGACACAAAAGTAATTAAAGCACTGAAATCTAGCTATAGTACTTAAGCAAACATCATTATAAAGTTCCAGCCTACTACTGTTTCTATTAAACTAAAAAACCTGTGTGACTGTTCCAGAATTGAATCCTAAATTATTTTCACATTCAATAGCTGTGTTATGTTTGTTTAAAATCATTTAAATAAACATAATTCTGGGTGTGGTATTCACAGAAATTTTATTGAACTACAACAGTATTGAAAATAGACACCATACTTTCTAGTATGTATAAATATTTCTACAGCTTGTTATTCTACATTTTGGAACATACCAATACACTTGATTTGTATGCTCAGAGTTAAAATGAAACAGGTTTAAAAAAATATATATTATGAACAAGCTTATCATAGAATTCTAAAACTGAAAACTAACCTAAGAGCTTAAAGCTTTGTTCAAAGATTTGACACAATAATTAAATTACATTATAATAAAAGCTTGGTCTTGCCTGTATTTCAGGCCAGCAATCAAGCATTGTTTCAGGCAAACACATGAAATAGTTACAACTACAAGGTAAAGCACTTTCTATTCATGTAATACCCTAATTTTCAAAAACAACTCAGTAATTCCTAAGATAAATGGAGACATACAGACTTGAGACTTGAGGCTTGTAATATCTACTTCAATAGATATTAAATACAAGTGTAAAAGACAGTTTCAACTATTATCAATGTTGTTATTGATTGAGGCTTTATCAGGTTTTTGACATTTGAGAGTTACAGATGACTAATCGCTGACTCTGAATACCTACATATTTATTTTCCTGAAACATTTCTTCTAGGCATCGGTTTTCAGTGACTATTTATGCTTATTACTTGATATAGCTACTGAAAAACTTAATAGAGCTTTATAAAGCTTTCTGGTTGTAGTAGACATCTACTTTTCCCATAATTTATAGAATAGTTTGCATGATATTATTGAATGATAACTTAAACCTACCCTGTATGAAATAAATCCTACCCAGTATTATCCTATAAAGTGCAAATAACATGTGTTAGTGCTCACCTCGCGCCGCTCAATGGTGTAGTAGGCGTCATCTTCCGCGGCAGCCTCGCCCACCTCCGGCGTCGGCTTCCCGGACCGGTACTTGCTCTTCTGGAAGGTCATCTTCAGGGAACTCCTGTGCTTCTTCTTGTCTCCCGCCCCTCTATTCAACTTTATTACAGTTTTCAAAGTACCAGTGTAGTCTCCCTGAGTCTTTGCTGCCTTACTCTTGTTAGACATCATACCACCATAGTTAGACCCATATATCCTCTCCTTTTCTCTTAACTTTTCAATCTTCGCCTCCTTCGCAGCCTTGTGGGTAAGTAAGCCAAGAGTTCTGAGCACATTTTCCTTGCGCTTTTGACTCTCAGGTGTTTCATTCAAGGCATTGCTTGGCCCTGGCTGGCACTCAGTCGAGTTGCGCGTTGATTTACTCGGTTTTGGACTCTTATCTGGCTTCACTTCCTGCTCCACTGGCTTAGCATCAGTAACTGTTTCAGTCTTATTGTCCACAGGTGTGTCTTTAGTCTCAACCGGTTTTTCTACAGGAGTTTCTTCAACTGCCATTGGTTCTGGTTCAGGCGGAGTAGGAGCTGCGGGGACTGTCTCTGCCGGAGTGTCAGTCTTAGCGATAGCAGTCTCAATCTTCGGTTCCTCTTCCTTTGGTGTTTCAGGAACAATAGTTGCCTCCTCCACCTTAGGTACTTCTGATGCAGAAATATCCTCGATAGTCTTCATAGATTCTATCGGTGGGGGCAATGCTTCAGTCTCTACAGGTGCGGCTTCAGGCGACTTGATGGCAACTGGCGCCGGCGTAATGGACACGGCGGGTGATACACTGTGATGTGAAGGAGACTTGATTTTCTCAATCGTCGCCATCTTCTCTTCCGTGTCCAGTGTAGATTCTGATGATTTGCGCGACATCGACTCCCGCGATTTCCTCTTGCTAATAATTTGAACGTCATTGGTAATTTTAGACTCTGAAATACGAGGTGTTATAGATATCTGGCTGGAATCTAAGACGACGCCCGCCAGACTCTGGGTCGGGTTGTTAGGGTGCAGCGTCGCGAACTGATGTAGGTCTATCGGAGTGCCAGTCTGCGGCGCCGATTTCTCTACAGATTTTTTAATCTCTGTTAAAGTGACATCCTTGCCGAGTGACTTCTCAAATATGCTGATGGCATCAGCTTCTCGTGAATGATTAGAACTTGTAGACTCCTTCCTCGAGCTGAAACTGTTCCTTTTAATAAGAGTGACTGAGTTAGGTAAATCAACATCAGTGGATTTTCTTACTTGATCTCGCTTGACTATTGAAATAGCAGAGTTGTTCTCAAAACAACTCAAAACATTCTCCTTTTCTATTGGTTTTTCAGGAGAGCGAACAGATTGTATGTCTTTCAGGGGTTTTATGTCACCAGACTTTGGTATAAGTACCACATCATTTGTCACCATCATTGGTTTACCACCATCTGTGGCCTTCGACTCCATTTGTCTTCTCTTATCGAACTCTTCGAATTCTTTTAGTCTATCCATGAGCTTGTCGATGCTGGCGACTGTGTTACACTTGTAAGGTATTTCGTGCTTGGCGCCATCTACAGGTTTCTCAACAGAATCTTCCTCATAGTGTAGTCTTATGTTTTCACCATCATCGTTCTTGGACGGCGTGTTCTCGTTACTGATAGGAGATATATCTTTGTCTTTTACGGGTGTCTCTGGAGTGGGCACATTGTCTCCATTGTTTAAAGGTTTGGCTAGGCCATAGAACTTGGAAGCAGGCTTTGTCTGCAATTGGTCAGGAGTAGAGGTTGCATTGCTGTCCGCCAACATCTCCATGTCACCATCGATGTTTTGATCTAAGTCGTTGATGAGATCGTTAATCTCCTTAGTGAGCGTGTCGATGGTCTCGACCTTGTCCTCGGCAGGGTCGTTCGTGATAGTGCTGGGGATGCAGTTCTTGGCTGCGGCGGTGACGGAGGTGACGGCGGTGGCGACGGTTGCGGTGGTGGCTGACGCCGGCGGGGGCGCGGACCGCGACGCCTGCATTACTTTGCGTCCTCTGCGCGCCTTCCTTATGTTCTTCACCATCTCCTTAGAGTTGAATGTCTTAGACATACTAGTTAATATACTACTACGAGCATCGAAAAGCGTATTATCAGTCTTCATTATCATTTTTTCTTCTATTTCATTTGAATTTAAATCGTCTATGTTTATCCTATTACTATTATTGTTGTCAGAGTCTAATGAAGTACTTCTGTTTAAGCTCAGTTTCTTTTCTTTTGCGTTTATGCTAGGCTCCAGGGGGTCCTGTTTGGTTTCAGCTAATTTGGAGTCAACAATAAGAGAAGGCACTTTTTCAATAGTCGAGATCTGTACATTATTTTCAATATCTACATCTAGGTCAGTCTTAGATTTATCTAGTTTTTTGTTGAGCTCCTTGCTGTCTGTGTCATTGAGAGTCTCACTCATGCTCAGGTCAGACTCAGTGTTGTCCGAGCACTTGGATATCTCACTGCCATCCCGAGAGCAGGAGCGTCCCCTCTTTAACTTCTTGCAATCCTCTGGAGTGTCTGCTGTATCTGAAGCCTTAGAATCTGAATGTAGTCTACGCCTTTTCTTCTGTTCCTTGATAACAACTTCACTCAGTAAGTTGTTCTTGACTTTCCTTGGTTTCCCACTGCGAAGGTTCTTACCTTCAAACAGTGAAGGACTATTGCTTCTTTCAGAGCGCATAGAGTAAGGACTGGTGCGTGGCCCCAGCACCAGGCTGCTTGGAGTGTCAATAAGCATTGTCTTCATCATGGCCATGTCGGAGCTGAGCCTCTGTCTCCTGCCAGCTGTCTTGGGGCTCGAGGACCTTGAGTTTGGAGTTGTATCTTCAATCGGCTCCTTTTTGATTTCAGAGGCAGGTATCAAAGGGACGGTTTCTTTGTCTTGTGTTTCCTCTGGATTAATTTTTATAGCAGCCTTTCTTCCTCTTTTAGCAGTTTGCTTTATAACAGACTTTACTTTTTCCTTGACAATAATAGCTTTTTTGCTTCTTAGAGTTTTTCTGATGCCTAAAGGTCTCTTCTTGACAACGGCTTTAGGTTTAACTATGGGTTTCTTAGTTTCTTTGGATGTCTTAGGCTCCTCTGGCGAGGATTTCTTGTCATCATCATTTATATCTGAAGCTTTCTTGCGGGCACGAGTCTTGGGTTCTATCACGGTGTCCTCATCGATACTCTTGTCAGTTTCTTCTTTAGCTTGTTTGGTTTTCATGTTGGAATGTGTGGTGGGAGATGTCCCCGTTTTTCCGACATCAGGTAAAAGCTGGCTGTCAGCTTTGCTCTTGTTAGTCGATCTGAGATTGATCGACAAGTTGGCCCGACTGTTGGCTGTTTGTTTCTGCTTGCTGGCCTCTGAATGCTGGCTCTCACTGTCTGTATCTTGTAGATTGCTGTCAGTTAAGATCTCCTCAGGGCTAGTATCACAACCACTGTCGTCCTTATTCAAATAACAACTAGTTTTCACTGTCAATGATTCCTCAATCTTTGTGTTGGGATGACTTTGAGCCATAATACATCTTGACGCTGTGCCATCTGGACCTGGAAAGCGACAAACATTCGTTAAGTACCCTTACCGCCCTATAATTAGCAACGTGGTATTAAAATTCACTTGTTGAACACTGTACTAAGTTACTCGTCAACTTAAGATAAATACCACAGGATTATTCAAGAAATTACTGCTTTTATGACTAAATATATGTACTGTGTACTTAATTATAGTATATTTTAGCACAATTCACATATAAATCGTGTCTACACACCGTGGTAAACAAAAGCCAACGCGCGCTAATCAACAAGTTCGCGCAATATTATCACATTTATTTCACTGATTGTTGGCTAATTTACTATTTATTTGGGAACTAGAAACTATAGTTAACTTATATCTGAATCAAAATAACTTTTCAAACATATCATAACATATTAAATCGCGCCGGAAAATTCATGAAAAACTCGATGTTTTGGTGGCGAGGCCGCGGGTGACACCTAACGCCACCTACAGCTGAGCGAGTGCGTATGCGTCGAGCGAACGAAAGCACCAAATCATTTCCCCAGCCGTGGCGCACCTCTGCAATGTCCACACAAAATACTCACAATTTATTCAATGAAACCTCCAAAAACCACAATAAACAGTTAATTAGATACACAATGCACCATAATATGCGAAAAAGTTCAATATAAACTCGCGATTAAACTTAGAAAACGATTTTTGAAAAGCCCAAATGACTGCAGGCGTCCGCCATAATGTTTCCTTCGAAACGAATAATATAGTTCTTATTGCTCTTGTAGCAATTCTCTATTCGCTATTCAAAATGGCGACCGTGTGGCGATCACAGTGCGCGTTTGCGCGACTTTTTGCTGGAAAAACTGGACAAATCTTGAACAACGCGACTGATTTGGGTACAAAACTTGGTCCGGGATCACAATCGGTAATTATTTAATTATATTTTCACTCGCGTCGAGTCGTAATGTCGCTTTGACCGCGACATGTGACAGAACTATGGACGTACACCCCTCCACGCAAGTTTCTCGCGGCTTCATATTTTTTGTGACATTAATTTATTTTCAGAATGAGTTTTTATTAATGTTGCGTAAGGGACTGTTATGTTATTTTCACAACTTTTTTCACATTGTTAGGTTATTGTATTAATATACACGGTTTATAGTTATAATTAACGGTTATAAGTACTTGTAAAATATTTTTTTTTTATATTTCACGTTATTAGGATTTTAGTTGCAGGGATGAGATAATGGGTTATAAAAATGTGAACTTAACATTATTTCTTTTGTTTTAGGTAATTTCAAGGAAATACTCTACATATGGTACCTCACCTTACATAACTAAAATAAAGGAGCAGTATGACTATGAAATTGTGAAGAATCCGCCGGAGTGGGCCTATGTACAGAGGTTGTTACCCTTCGACACTATTCCCCAAGTAACACCTAAGGAGAGCTATCCATCTGGTTGGGTCCCGCCAAAAGAAGAGGCAAAGAGTCTTCCTTATTTCCTTGCAAGAACGAAAAATCATGAACTGCCAATTTATTTGAATATAACGTACAGAGGTATTCGGCAAATAACAAAAATAAAACGCATTGAAGGTGACATTTGGCTCTTAAACGATGAAATTAAACAATACTTAAAAGAAAAGAACAAAAGATACGTCGAAACTCGTGTCCACGAAGTAGGTAGATTTATAGAAACTAAAGGTGATTATGTTAATGATTTAGTTCAATGGGCTCATTCCAAAGGTTTTTAAATGTGTAATGTTTTCAAGTAGTTGAAATAAATGATTTAGTGCATATTATGTTTGTCTTATTTACCCTTTTATATGAAGTTGACTGAGATCACAAATCTTTATAAAAGTCATACTTATCACAAAATAACCTAGAACCTAGGTTTTTGGAATTGTTGGGAATTTAGGAATTGCGGAGCCTCACTCACGCGATGAAACACAACGCAAGCGTAGTTTTACGTTGGTTTTCTCTGAGGTCGTGAGAACACACCATTCAGGCATGGCCCATTTGCGCCGAAGCATGGTTCACTCACACTTCATATATTTTATGGCCACAAAGGGCCGTCAACGCAATTGTAACTTCAATGGCAGCACGATTGCTTACCTCATTGAATGCTCAGGTGATTCGTCTGCTCGTTTGCCGGCCATCCCATAGAGAAAAATTAGAAAAATAATGAGGATTTCAGTCAAACTGTCTTGTGATTGTGTAAAATTAAGTATTTAATTTGGCAATTTGTCAGAATATACTTAGTTTATATAAGTGACGTCCGCTAGTGATATTCGTCCGCATGTCATACCTGTTTTTAATATTTTCAATGAAATATGACATTTAAATCTCAAATAACTTACTTAAAATTTCGAATAACACATTTTGTACCTGATATAAAAAAGTTTTCTTCAAAAACAATCTTATTAGAACATTTCAAAATTGTCTAACAAAATAATTAAGATTGTAATACACAAACAGACGAAACTCGTTCAAACCTTGCTGGGAGGGTTGTACACGGCATGAAGTTTGGTTATACGCCGCTAGGGGCGCTGCGCACGGCGGAAGGTTTTATCTACGTAGCTATATAACATCCGCCCGACACCGATGGGCCTCTCCACGGTACATATTTTCGATACCAACTCACTCTTCTTTGTTAAAAACAACTTTTCTACACGATATATGCATTCATAATCAGTATAGTTCGCTTTTTGCAACATAAAAACTCTACATAAACGCTATAAGTTTTAGGTTACTTTTATTGCAATTAACTTTGTTATTGAACAGTAATTCGTGAATAAATACACATAATTGACTCTGTTGTCGTTAAAAACTTTATTTGAGTCGATATTTCATAACATAAGAGCTAATCGGGGATCGATATTGAACATTTACGGTTTTATTATGTAAGATGATAGGTACAATGTATGTTACATAGTTATAATGATTTTCAAGGCCAAGCGCTTTCAGAGTGACACGTGTACAATCTAGGTATTACGATTGCACAACATTCTTATATTATGGGCTCGGGGGTGGAATTTAATAAGCATCACTTTAACTGAATAGTGTTTATGTAACTTTTGATGAAGAATCGGTATGAATGACGAGAATTTGACTGTAAACAAACTTTGTTCTTGAGTTTTGTTAATTCGTGTTTATTTTTTATTTTAAAATTTGTGTAGGTTTAAAAAGTACCTTAACACGTTAAACGCCATGGCAGTCACCGGTGACCGACATTAGCGGAGGATTTGCCTTCAACAGTTTTTTATTGGCAGTCAATGCCTTAAAACGTTTTTCTCTCACCGATCGAATTAGTATTACTGCATTTTGGGACCTATATCTCAATATTGTTTGTTAGGCAATTTTTTTTGCCATAGTTAGTGTTTCAGAACCTCATTGGACATTCTTAACTTCATAAGGGCTTACATATTACAAATACAGGACTTGATACATTTCTATTGAATAAATAACTTGCTTGAATACTTTTTGTTAAATACTCTAACGTACATCGTGGCTATGAATAGATGCCCTGTCTATAAACAGTTTCGTTATAAACGTAACTAAATATTGATTAAAAAAGTAATATTTACCGAGTTACATTCACAAAGGGATTTGTACAGTCATTAATTGGGAATGCGAGTAGCACTGAGTAAACTAATTACTTATCGATATTGGACCGGTTAATTAATAACTGGTGATTACCGAACACAATGGGGCATCGTGCAGGATAGCTAGAGAAACATAGCTACATACCTAAATATCTATACTGTTAGTTAGTTATAATTGCCTGCTTAGTCTTGTAGTTTGTCTAAGTAGTTTCTATGCGTTTTGTCTAAAGATGGTTAGCTTGTGCTAACCGCGCTTTATTTCCGATTTGTTGCTAAATTTCATGCAGATATGTTCAGTAGGTTTTTCATTAAAGAGTAACAAACGTAGGTAGGTTTTATTAGTTCCATATTAGTTCTACATCAATGGAAAGTGCCCTAAGTAGGTGCTTAAGAATTCTAGAATCTAGATCAGCGCGTAGTTTTTTTATCTAAAGGTTTCAATTTACTTTCGAGTCTCCAACCAAAGGGTGTTATATTATTAATTGCCTGAGCATCTACATCCGAATACGATAGGCAAACATAATAGATTGTATTCCAATTTTATTTGTTGTACAACGAAAATACATGTAAATTATACATCTGTGTGGAACTATATTGATCGGAGGTTAATTTTATTTTTTATTGAAATATAATATACCTATATGAATTAGGTACCTAAGTATTGGTGGACTTTCTTTAAATGAAACAACCAACAGATAAGATACCAATTTCACCTTTTTTGTCCTTGATCACTTAAAACCTATTTCACAATGTCTGAAATACCTACGTATTTATTTTTCTAGAATGGCAACCGGGTTTTTTATCTAAGGCATAATTTTAGGCATTTTACACGAAAAAAGGTTTAGTACCTATATCTTAATGAATAGAAACTTAAATAAATATTTTAGAACAAACAATAAGTTCAATTTCTTACGTTAGGTAGGTCTTGTCCTGAGTGAACCGTCTTAGAATTCAATTTAAACTGGTAGTAGCTGTATTTGTCGCAATTGCACTTGGACTAGGTATCGTAGATTTGTAGTGATACCACAATAAAAATTAAAAAATAAATAAGTCGTTTATTCATTTTAACTCGTCGAGTACCGGTTTTGTAGACACAATTATAGAACAATAGGTTGCGGTCACCGGTGACCGCTTGGTGTTTGACAGTTTAATAATAACTAGCTGATAATTAAATCTCTGATATAGGCTGGTATAGAGGTTTTGTAGGTGGTAGGTTTCGCCCTCGTCAAAAAAAAACTGGTTTAAAGTTAGAAGATTACGTTTAAAAGATTATAGGGATCCGGAAATGTGACAGTATTGCTAACATAAATAAATAAATAAATAAATAGATTTGTAATATTATTCAATAAAATTATTTATTTGACATCGAGAAACAAACACATTTACGAAGAAAAAGAAAGGAGACCTCGTGATTAAAATATAGATCAATAAATCCCTAAATTTGTTTTATGCATACCTATGCATGAATCACGTAGGTAGCTAATTTAAAAAGAGTAGGTATAGACCAAGGGTGTTAAAGAGCGTATTCCTTTATAAAAGGCTGGCAAAGCACCTGTGTCTCCTCTGGTGTTGCGGGTGTCCATGGGCGGCGCTAATCGCTTACCATCAGGTGATCCGTCTGCTCGTTTCCTCCTACTCCATAAAATATGTATTTTTTAAATAAGGACACATTGATATTGCATTGTATTAACAATGCCATGGGAATTAACCCATTATAAGCTTAATAGGTAGGTACCTACTACTTACCATATCATCATCAGTACATTTACTTACATAGTTACATATATTTTTGGACATAGCAATTTTTTATAATATCTAACAGGACATTGAGCTCGATCTTCAAGGACTTTGTATCCAACCACTGGCAGCATCCTCTCTGTCTTCCCAACAATCCTCAAATTCCTAATCCCCAAAAGGATAATGCACTTGTGACGCCTCGGGTGTTCCGGGTGGCTATAGGCGACGCCGATTGCTTACCATAAGGTGATCCGTCTGCTCGTGTACCAGCTTAATTACACCAAAAAAACCTCCTGTATTATCGACACTCCATCTAGCTAAACAGCATTCTAGGTAC